CGATATACCCGCTGGCCAGCTCGAAACGAAGTTCGTTGTTCTTGGCCCATTCCCGGCATCGCTCAGACAGAGACCCGTGAAGTTAATGCGTGGTAGAGGGGGTATGACGCCTGAGCAAGCGCTGTCGGAGTCTTGGACACCACCGGTGAGATTCACCTAAGGCACAATTTCAGTATTAGTTGAATCGGGAGCGCACTCACGAATTGTGTCTCTGTACCTTTTCTTCTCGGCTTAATTGAGCTACTATCGCCTTAGCTTGCGAGTAAGCATCTGCCCAGTCCCCAGTACCCGTGCCTTGTGCTGTAATCTTGTTAGTAGGTAGTCTACTCAGTCTCAAACGAAATTTAAGTGGCCTTGGGATACGGACGCGTAGGATACACAGGAGGCGATTGGCCGTAGAAGAAGGCGTCATCTGTGATGATATCCTGTCCGAGTCCGGGCACTGCCAAGAAAGCGATCAAGTAGAGTGCGGAGGACAGCATATTGAGGGAATGCACCATGTCTCATCAGGACTCTTTCCGAGGGGGTCTAAAAGCGACCTTCAGATAGATTGAAGGGCCCTTGGGATAGCAGAGACGAAGTCCTTTAAGAAAACTATATGTAACTACGAAACATGTCATGTGCGCTTGCCTCGTACTCGCGTGAAGCCTGCCGGAAAAGTTCTTGCTCGGGGAACGGGGGCAACGGCATCCGTTACCATACCTGCTTGAGTATAAACACATGATGCAACAATGCTGGCGACGCTCAAGCTTGGCCCAAGGTGGAGAAGACGTAGTGCGGGCAGAAGCGACGGTTCGTCTCGTGGGTAGCCGCTGCACCTCAACGCCGAGGACAAAGGACAATAAAGAATAGCCATGTCCGGCGGGGCTTAAAGACCGACCATCTCTGGTTGTATTTAACAGTACGAAGCTGGTAACTTTATGATGCTTGCACTATGTTAATTTGCAGCTACACATACCTCATTCGGGCTCAACTCTTTACAGCATGGCTGTTACTGTGGCTTGTTTGTAGTTCATATTGTGTTGGTGGTGGGATGCTGTACGGCCGATCTCATCGCATTACAGTTCCCCCTCTTCCAGATTGTGTCGGATGGGGGATTCGTACAGTAGTTCACGCATCCTTAAGGATGGGTCCTAATCCTATTGGCAGTAAGCTACTTGCACAGGAGGGCTCATTCTCCAGTTCTCATCCAGTTGCCAATTGGGCTGAGGCGATCTGCCCTACTCAGTATGCTAAATGCCGGTTGCGGCGGGGATGACATCGAAATGCCATCGATAAATATGCACCCCGCGCTTTAGCGATGGGTCCCGAGGTTGCATGCATGGTCGGAGATTGTATATTGTGGAGGAGATCGGCCGATCGGTCGATCAGTCAGCACACTGGCAAGATGAGGTCATGTTAGTCAATACAAAATGGACGGTCGGGGTCGGACACGGAAGTTTTCTGCAAGAATTCGCTACTTTGCTAAGTCTGTGCCGCTGTGCATTGTGATGCGACGCCGGCTCGGTTAAATAGCATCTACTACCATGTCTGCCTATTGTAGAAAGTACACCGTGCCACCGAGGCTCCAGTCTGGTCACTGGTCCGGCCCGTTACCCTATGATATACATACCTATAGCCAACAAGGTGACAACGCCGACAGCAGACCAAATTCTTTTCAACAATGTACCATCATTGGTGGTTGTTGGTGTGATCCCTGTCTGAGTTTTCGGGGTTGAACCGAAGGTGTTGGTTCCCCATCGCACCGATGTTTTCGGTGCCGGTTCCGGTTCCGGGCCCAGTGTTGGTCGGTTTGTATCCGCTGGTGATGTGGCAGAGTCCGCCGTTTCGCTGTCCGCAGTCATAGTCGACGGTGGCGCCGTGATGCCCATCATGACCTTGTACTGGGAGGCTACACCCGCCGGAAAGTGTTTGAGGTCATTTGCTTCCCATTGCACTGTTACTTGGTCATGTTCAATCATGAGCCCCGGTGCCAGTGTTGTGTACACGTCGGCGGTGGATATGTTTGGATCGAGAAGAAAAGCCATGGAGTCCGCGATAGTTGAAGTGCACATGTACTCAGAATCAAGAGACATAGGTGAGAACCCACTGGAGATGTCAGTCACAGGTGTCAAGGTTAGAATAAGGTGGAACTACCTTTGACAGCATCCTGCCGTCCAGATTGTCTTGCCGTCGTCTACGTTGGAGGTGTGCTTGACGACTTGCATATGGATTGGGCATACGCCTGGACTGAAGGTCGGGTACGTAGCCGTGTACTGCGTTGGGATACATTTGGTGAAAGACGGATCTACCCATCCGCTGCTGGGCGGGATAATGCTCGTGCCAGGTGTGTGGTCATCGACGACGACGGCGAACCGATTAGAGCACCAAGAAGCAGGTGTAAAAAGTGTAGTTAGTTCTGCCATGATATTGATGTCTATGGGTAGCTGAGTCGGTTAAACGTAGTGACAATACCCGACGAAGTTCGCCCAATCTTTATTTATCTTTAAGAGGATAGATATACCTTTGGTGTCTATGCCGGTAATTTGACCTACAAACGGGCCGTGTTCCTTCAAGCTGTGCCTCGCTCGCGACAGCTGTTCGGTAGGCCCCGTAGTATTAAGGACCTGACAGGAGCTCGACGGGATTCTATTGCCCTGTGTGAAACGCTGCAACGTAGTTTAGGGGGAGGGATCGAATTCTCTTTCCGTGCTGCCTTGCTTCTAAGGTGAATAGAGGCAACTCCAGTGACGGCGATGGTGCGTTCCTTAGGTGGTGATGAATGAGGGGGCTTGCCGGTCAAGAAGGAGCGACAAAGATGAAATGATTATCATTGTATCCCAAGACCACACTGACAGCCAAGAGTGCCTAGCTATTGGCGCTTCGATCGAAGTTTATAGAAAATTAAGGTTCTGAGATCGGAGAAGATCAGTAATTTGGCGGGAACGATTCAACATCTGAGCTTGCAGAAGTGACTCAAGCACTCGATAACGCACTCACTTACCGATCACATGAAACTCAATCAAATGCTGAGCCTCACTGAAAGCCACGTGCCACACATCCATAGACGTTCGCTAGATCTTAAAGGAGTGAATGCCATCAATGAAATGGATCACGGGCCGCGGCATCTGAACCGCCATAGCGCGTACATGGCGTCGCATGCAAGGATGGTTCCTCATCGAAAGACATAGCTACCAGGGCGAGTGAGGTCCTTTGTACCGGCATATGTGGAGTGTACTCTTATACTGACGGCCATGCAAGCTAGTGGGAAATAGATTGGATACTGCACGGAATCCAGTCGTGTCGACATGCAGACTTAACTGGGTTGACCAGTAGAGCTGAGTTCTCAATTTCATAAAGTCTCTCGTTGGACCGACACGGAGATTCGGAAGTTCCATAGCCCCGATAGGATGATATATCCGGATATGCAGAGCTTATATATGATAATCGGAGCACCTCCCTAAAGCAATCTTTTCACCCCTCAAATATCGCAAGTAGCTTCACTTACGTAGTGGATTGGAGTAATGGGTAAGCTGCGACAAGTAGAACAAGAATCACCGGATATCACTATATAAGTCCGTGGTAGTAGAAAATGGCACCAAGTTACAAGGTCGCACTAATTCAACTTCACCCCAAGGTGAGTTCCCATGCACCTCTAATGGCCCTCACAATTGGTGAGATGACGCCATTCCCCCAGTGGCCGGCAACTCCCAGATTCAATGAGAGGTCTCCTTAGACTGTTCACCAAGAATGCTTCAAATCCCACAATTTGCTTACACTCATTACAGCCATTGTCTCCGACTCAAAACTACGAGAATGCCGCAGGGTTCATACGAGAGGCAGCTTCTAAAGGCTGCCATTTAGCCGTACTCCCTGAATACCATCTCACCTCATGGGTCCCTGCCGAGCCGGAATTCAAGAACTCATGTGCAGATTCTCTCATATACCTGCAACGATACCAAGATCTAGCGAAGGAGCTTCATATTTGCATTGTTCCCGGAACCATCATTGAAGCCGATGGCGACTCTCTACAGAACATCGCATACTTCATCTCATGGGACGGGGACATTTCTGGGCGATACCAGAAGAAGAACCTATGGCATCCAGAGCGCCGCCACCTCGTATCATCGGCTCACGAGCCCCATCAGGCTTTTGACACGCCTCTTGGACGTGTTGGTCTGCTTGTCTGCTGGGACTTAGCCTTTCCGGAGGCCTTCAGGGAGCTCATCGCCGATGACGCCCAAATCATCTGTGTGCCGTCCTTCTGGACTATGCGCGACGTAACAGATCAGGGCTATGCTCTGAACCCGGATGGCGAGGCCATGTTTCTCAACAGCACGGTCGTGTCGCGCGCGTTTGAGAACACGTGCGCGGTCGTATTCGTTAACGCCGGTGGTCCACCCGCGAAAGGGGAGGAGACAAGCTTTGCGGGCCTGAGCCAAGTCGGTGTTCCTCATCTCGGATCGTTAGGACGGTTAAGTCGCGCCGAGGGTATGTCCATCATCGATCTGGATATGGACGTGCTGAGAATAGCGGAGGAGAATTACAAAGTACGAGAGGACAGTAAGTCTCTACGTTTTCTTCAAGTACTTCACATTCAATACATCCCTACCAGTGAACCATATGGTGTCCTTATTGCAAGTCATTACTAATCCTACTCTGTTAAATAGTGAGAGCCGAGGGATGGCACTACGCTTATACGCGCATTCGCGATCAAGGAAAACTATAAGCACACCAAGTACCGGTACGTACTTGGTCGCACATTATATCTACTACACCCTATGCCCGTGTGTGAACAAAGACCTCTTTGAATACTCCGCCTCCGCCATTAGCTGTGATAGTGAAGCGCTTAATATCTTATACTTAAAAAGATATGCTCTTTATTTGGTTAAATCCTACTTATTCATCTACACCCTATGCTCAATTACTTAATTAATGACGGGAAAAAATGTTTGTAAAGGCGATATAAGGGCTAGTTGTTCGTGCTATGAAACAGGACGACCAAAAGAAAAGTAATCAAATGCCCCCATCCCGGATCGAACGAGAGACCTTGTCATAACCTGTTAATACAAGTGACACGCGCTACCACTACGCCATAGGGGCTTCTGTACCGAAGGCCGATGTAGCTCGGCGGGTGATGACGGGTATACCTCAAATGTGTCCTAATAAAACAGGAACTTACCCATTCTAAACGCTTCCTATCTTTGTTTCTATTACAGTCTTGTCATGGAGTCCATCCAAGCCTTGCGCTTAATTGTGGCTGTATTCATAATAGTGGTCTACCGGCATGAGGCAATGCCCCTGTTGTAACAAGCAGCTAAACTAGAAGGCGGGTGGCAATATCGCATCATAAAAATACGCCGTGTAAAACATCCGATGCACTACATATATACAGGTCGCCAGGATGATAAAGCTATAGTATGGGGCCATTGTAGGTCATTTTCCTAGCATAGTTAGCATGTATTTCAATACGGAAATTTATATGCAAAGGTACACATGGTATAATTCGCCACTTGCGACTCAACACTATACCTACCTACAGAACTAGGTAATTTATCAACATAAAATAGCTTCAATTACGCAATAGCAAATTATACCATTCGTACCCTTCCATATAAATTAGGCGGAGGGATACATACTAACCATCTTGGGTAAATGACCTGCAACGGCCCCATAGTATAGCTTTATCATCCTGGCGACCTGTAAATACATTCGATAATAACGCGACTTATCTCTTAACCCCGAACTAATCTGGAAACCATACTAATCAATAAGATTGTAGACGTCATTTTCTCCCGCCCTGGCTGGTACAGGGAACAAAGTACGGGCATAATCTTAAATGTCGATATTGTTGTCTGCTTTAAGTGCCGGTTTTTGCATTCCCTCTTCGTACCCAACCTCGTCTTCGACAGCTGTATGATCTGACACAGTCCATACCGCTGGCAAGACAATAATGAGTGATCCGATGCAAAGACCCCAATTCATGCCCAGCTGTGTCATTGCGCTCGTGTGAAGCGCGTTTATCCTCCAAGCCATTGCACCACCGGCAGCTTGGAAGGTCTTGTACGCTCCGACGAGAATGGCGGCCCGCGCGGAGCTGTTAGACTCTGTACCAATGAGCCAGTAAGCAAAGCCTTGCCACAGAGCGTCATAACCTCCGTAAAAGATGTAAAGAATCATAGGACCGGTAGAAATGTCCCCGTTCGTATAGTCAATGTCCTGAACGTGACCAGCGGCAAGACGCTTGTTCTCCCATAGCTGGAATGCGTAACCACCTCCCCATACGGATAGGCCAGTGACAATGAGGACGCCCCAGCCAATGCGGGCGCGCATGCTACGGCTAAAACTTGGCATATCAAGGATGAAGCCAATGATTAGACCGCCGAGCATCTGTGCGATCCAATACAGCGCACCGTTCAGAGAGCGGGTGCGAATGTTGAAAGTTTGACCGTTAACATCGTTCTGCTGGTAGCTGTAGAAGACATTTGCAGAGTAGAAGAGTGGGATCATGCAAACCACGCGCCACTTCGTTATGGTTTTGATGGCCATCCGGATCGTGCCCTTGACGCCGCGCTTCTCAGTCTCAACAGCATTGTGTAGTTGGGCAAGTCTGATGCGCGATGGTGAGCAGATAAACAAGCCGAGGAAATAGCCGAATATCATGATGACTAGGAGGGCAATGTATGTTGAGTCGGTGACGGTGCCGCTTTTGGAGTGGTAATTCAGACCAAAGGAGACTAACGATCCAATACCACCGCCGAGGTTGAAGATGATCCAGAAGACGGCGATGGCTCTGCCTTTCTGGGACTCGTCCACGTACGTGGTCATGATGGCTCCTTGAACGATCCATAGGAAGGAGGCGCCAATGCCCAGAATTGCACCGGAAGAGATGACAAAGGTGCCATTGTGATGATGATTGAAGTGCAGCAAGCTGCCAGTATAGAGAGCGTATGTCCAACCGCCGATGAGGAAGCAGATGCGCGGCCCAACCCACGAGAATATTGGCCCTGCAATGAAGAGAGCGGTGGCCGCAGTGGTAGAGAGCAGTGCAACACTGGCATTAGCAGCGACAGTCGGGTCAACCTGGCCGGATCCTCCAATACCGCTAAGAGCATTGTATACCTGTGACATTAAATGTGAACGTTAGATCTCATATGACCAGAACTGGATATCGAAGTCATGGATCACTCACTCCAGGGAGACAGAAACAAATCAGACTGATGAGTAGAATCTGCGTCCAAGGATGAGCATAGAAGCCTATGAGTTTGGACGAGTGCAGCTGCTGAATATTATCCCCCTGCGGCCGCTCAGTCCTGAAAGACTGGTCGTAGACATGGGGCATTTCTTTCGTTTCATCAGCCATATCGCAGGCTTCTCAATTGTCTCATGACCATCGAAGCCTCAGTTTTGACTCTGCTTCGGCTGAGTGATTCCCAGGATGGGCAACCCTCGTCCTAATACCTCGCAAACACAACGCCGATATCCGTATCTAACATCCTGAAGTGGGCTAGGTTTTGATACGTTACATTCAAACACAGCAATCGATCGCCCGAATCGAGTTACACACAGATACGAGCCCGATACGTTGGTACGCTGAGCGAGTTGGCTACACAGCCAATTGAAGCAGCGGAAGACTCCTCACGTTGATCATCTCCACTATTCCCCGCGGTGATAGGCGTTTACCGTGCTGCGGGGAGGACTACACTAGCACTGGAGATGGGATTATGCTTGTCAAAGACGAACTACTATACTGAGAGTAAATGGTCCCGATGTCGGACAGCGCAGTGTTGTCAAGCCGAGTGTAAACGATTCCATTGTTAATGATGATTGGTAGGAAATTTGTCGCGATTGGTCTGCTCATAATGAAGCCTCGGCCCTTTTAATAGCTAAATACTTTGGTTCATGTAGCCTGAAACGAAGGCGCGAAGGGAAACTAGGAGCTTAAAGCCATGACGACGCCTGTGGTTCAACTTGCCGGCCTGCAGACGGAGAATCGAAACCCCCGGACAACGGATATTGACCGAGTATCAACTCTCGAGCTATGCCGGCTCTTAAATAGGGAAGACCGAGAGGTGCCCTTGGCGGTAGAGAAATGCATTCCAGTCATCGCAGAGGTTATTGAAATTCTATCCGAGCGAGTGTATAATGGCGGCAGGGTTTTCTACATAGGAGCTGGAACTAGCGGCAGGTAGGATACCCTAGTCTCAGCCCCTTTTCTGAGCGCGCGCTCTGATTGCCTAGGCAATGGCGATGATATCTGACCACCTAATGACATAGACTAGGTGTACTAGATGCATCTGAGATACCTCCTACCTACTCAGCTTCACCTGGAAAGTTCATCGCGCTCATAGCCGGCGGTGATTATGCTCTCCGGCATGCTAAAGAGGGCGCCGAGGATAACAGAGACGGGGCCAAAGCCGATTTACAACCATTCAACTTAGACCCGAAGGTTGACTCTTTAATTGGGATTGCGTCCTCCGGACGTACACCGTACGTCCTAGGTGGCTTGTCCTACGCCAAATCATTAGGGGCTACGACTGTTGCTCTAGTGTGTGTCTCTCCATCAGCAGCTGAGGTTGAGGGTAATGCGGATTATCTCATTTCCGCCGTCACAGGGCCAGAAGCGGTCACTGGCAGTACGAGGATGAAGGCGGGGACGGCGACAAAGCTGATACTAAATATGATCAGCACTGGCATAATGATAAGACTTGGAAAAACGTATGGAAATCTGGTATGCTTTATGTTCACACAGCGACATGTGCCCTTCATACACTGACTCTCAATAGATGATCGATGTCAGAGCTACCAATCTCAAGCTCAAGCAACGAGCTAGGAATATTCTCCGATCTGTTTGCGGTGATATCTGTACGCAGTCCGATGCGGAACTAGATCAAATACTTGAGAGCTGTCATGGCAGCGTCAAGCTGGCTGCCGTAACAATCGTATTGGGCATTTTAGTGAAGGAAGCTGAGCACCGCCTTCAACAGAACAAGGGAGTTCTCTCCCGCGTGTTCGAAGAAGCACGAGGGAAAGATGTACTTCTAGAGGGTCATGGTGACAGTCTAGTTCTATGTGTAGATGCCGGAGGTACTAGCTGTAAAGCTGTGATCTTGTCAAAGGGCGGGCAAATGGGGATCGGAAAGGCTGGCCCTTGTAATGTGTATGCCGTTCCGGACCACATCCGAAAGACCCCCCCTAAGCGCTAAGCTCCGCAGAACGAACGTTGGAACAGACGCTGCTATTGCCACCATCTGCAGAGCGATCGAGGAGGCAATGGGCAACTGCAAACTTACCGAGGGGCGCCAGATGCGAGACGTCAAATTTTCGGCTGCTTGGATTGGTATAGCTGGCTATGGTAGACCACCGCTGACTCCCACGATCGACAGCTCCCTCTCGGGGATGCTTGGGCTCCATGTAGGGGCGGGGTTAAAAATAACGAGCGATATAGACCTTCTCCCTATATGCGCAACGGGCCAACCGGAACTGAGATCAGTGGTTGTTATAGTGGCAGGAACAGGATCTATTGCTATGAGCTACGAGAAGGTTAATGCTCAGTTCCAATCGATGCACCGTGTTGGAGGATGGGGTCACCTTCTTGGCGATGACGGCTCCGGTTACAGTATTGGACGAGACGCTCTTCGCGCTGCACTTCTTTCGTCCGATCTCAATAGAGTTCGTACAATCGAAGGCGTGAACTCTGTGATTCAGACACTCTCGCCCTTATCACAAGCAGTTTTCGGCCACTTCAAGGAACTCTATCCCGACTCCAAGCCAGACGAGCTCCTTAGCACCATCCTCGTGCCGGATCCGGCCGCACATGGTACTGAGGATGCCGCACTAGCAACTACAAAGCGTATTGCTAGCGTTGCTAAACTGGTTCTTTCTTTGGCAGATTCGGATGACGAAGCAAAACGCATTGTTGAAACCGGAGTGTCACGTCTTGTAGACCTGGTAGCGCTGATGATCCGGGGTCGAGGAATCGATCCGTCGCAGTCAGGCCTCGTTCTAGCTGGTGGCATGACACAAGACAAATTATATAGAAGAATGCTGATGAGTGCCCTCGAAGAAAAGTACGGCAAGTTCCACTGGACCGAAAGCGTCGC